TCTCTGCCCTTGTCCATTCTTTAAACTTTTTAAAAACTCTCTATTTATCTGCAACCATATCTATTTATTTGAAAAAGATCAAGCTATTGGTAATACAAGCTCGTAACCGCCACAGGACTATATATTCACGTTGATTCCTGCATCTTTGCTCGTGTAACCCTTCTGCCCATCTAAGTTGGCAGCAACAAGGGCCGGGTTCTGTATCTAGGGGTTCCGTTTCAATAACGCAATGCAAAACCGGCTCGAGCCCCCACCCAGTGACCTGGGACAATTACATACCACCCCCTGGGCGCCTCTAGGAGGCAATACTTCCCCTTTCGCAAGCACGGAGTCTGAGTGTAACAGAAAATGTTTAATAACATGAGGTAAACAACATCAGCATTAAATTGGAAAAACAACACAAACAGGCTGCATGAGCAAAAAACCCACCCCAGCAAATTGGGCTGTGTCCTTTCCCTTTGGTTCTTGAAACCAGCAACCCAAGAATCACCAAGGTCCCAAAAGTCCAGCAACCCAAGGATCACCAAAGTCCGAAAAGTCCAACAACCCCCCAAAGTCTCTGTCCCTGGTCAGTGCAGCCCCAGAGTTCAAGCGGGGGGTGGGGGGGAGGCACGCAGGGTGTTAAGGAGCACCTTACGTGATCCGAGGCCGACTGGCTGCCTTTCTGTGGGGTTCCGAGGCCGACTGGCTGCCTTTCTGGTGGGTTCCGCCGCAGCCTTCTCCACAAGCTGCTCCGCTCCACTCCACTCCACCAGCTGTCCTGTGAGCCGCTCCCGCCGTCCACGAACTGCTCTGGCAGCTGCTCCGCTCTGCTCACCGACCTGTGAGCCGCTCAGCTCTGCTCCACTTCAGCTGTTCCTTGGGCCGCTCCCACAAGGCTCCGCTCTGCTCCTCCAGCCGCTCCGCTCTGCTCACCGCCCTGTGAGTCGCTCAGCTCCACTCCAACCGTCCCTGTGCGGCTCCACTCTGCTAGCTGCTCCACCAGCCGCTTAGCAATATAGCTTCAGGCTCCCCCACTAGTTAACACAGTCTCAGTGATCTCAGCTCTTAATAACTTTAGCTCTTTTGTGATTTCAGCTCTTAGCAATAGTACCCCAGTGCTAGTGCACCATTAGCCCAAAGTGAATTCAGCTGAGCTGCCTATAACTAGACTCCTAATGGAATCAAAGTTAGCTCTGACATTCAACAGTGGAGAGAGGAGATAGTGCAATTGGTGTTTCAAACCCTCAAAGAGGGCCCATATCATCAGATATAAATTAGAGAATTTTTTCACTTCAAGGTCCCAGAAGCAAAGGCAAGGTTTTCATCCCGAGGCCAAAAGACCAAAAACATCAAGACACTTGATCACGGCCTTGGATAGACCAAGAGACTACTAACACTTGGACCACAGCTCAAAGAGCCAGTTGCTGTTGTTTCAGGCCAGGCGAGTGGCTGTGCCTATGCAAACCAGATCAGCCCCTGGAGTTCTTTTCCACACTCGCCATAATTCACCACCAGATGTCAGGGTAGAGCTCATCCTGACTCTGCTTACATGTGCATCATCTCCATACTAGTTCATATGGGGGTGGGGCCAAGAGGTTTGGAGAGTGTGGGGGGGCTCCGGGCTGGGAGAGAGGGATTTAAATTAATGGAGATATCCTATCTCCTAGAACTAGAAGGGACCTTGAAAGGTCATCGAGTCCAGCCCCCTGCCTTCACTAGCAGGACCAAGTACTGATTTTGCCCCAGATCCCTAAGTGGCCTCTTCAAGGATTGAACTCACAACCCTGGGTTTAGCAGGCCAATGCTCAAACCACTGAGCAATCCCTCCAGGGGTGAGGGCTCTGGCCAGGTGTGCAGACTGTGGGATGGGGCTGCAGATGAGGAGTTTGGGGTGCAGACTGCGGTGGGGAGAGGACTCCCCCCAGCCCTCTCTCACCACATCTCCTTGGGACTGGGTGAGAGGCACCTCTCCCCAGCCGTGGCAGCTCCTGTGGCTGGGGTGAGGGAGGAGTTCCTCTCCCCAGCAGCTCCAGTGGACCTGGACCAAGCCTGGGGAGGAGCTCCTCTCCTTGCCTTCCTTCACGGCCCTCGATAACCAGCTGGTCCCGCCCTCCCCATGTCCCACCGTGTCCTGCGTTGGCA